CCGCCTCCTGGGTTCAAGTGATTCTCCTGCCTCAGCCACCCGAGTAGCTGTGACTGCAGGGGTGCACCACCACGCCCTGCTGATTTTTGTATTTTTAGTAGAGACAGGGTTTCATTCTCTTGGGTGAGGAAGGTCTCGATCTCTTGACCTTGTGATCCACCCACCTCGGCCTCCCAAAGTGCTGGGATTACAGGAGTGAGCCACCGCGCCGGGCCCTTATTTTACTTTTTTAAGGATGAGTTCTCATTATGTTGCCTAGGCTGGAGTACAGTGGGGCGATCATGAGTGTGTAGCCTCGACCTCCCAGGCTCAAGCGATCTTCCAGCGTCAGCCTCCAGAGTAGGTGGTACGACCTCTGGGTGCCACCATGCCCGGCTAATTTATCACTTAGTAGGCACAGGTTCCTGCTATGTTGCCCAGGCTGGTCTTGAACTCTTGGGTTCAAGTGATCCTCCAGTCTAGACCTCCCAAAATGCTGGGGTTACAGGTGTGTGCCACTGTGCCTGGCGTCCATCTTCAATCTTCAACCCCCTTTGCCATGTATCCTAACATATTCACAGATTTTGAGGATTGGGGTGTGGATATCTTTTTTTTTTTTTTTTTTTTTTTTTGAGACGGAGTTTCGCTCTTGTTACCCAGGCTGGAGTGCAATGGCGCGATCTCGGCTCACCGCAACCTCCACCTCCTGGGTTCAGGCAATTCTCCTGCCTCAGCCTCCTGAGTAGCTGGGATTACTGGCATGTGCCACCATGCCCAGCTAATTTTTGTATTTTTAGTAGAGACGGGGTTTCATCATGTTGACCAGGATGGTCTCGATCTCTTGACCTCGTGATCCACCCGCCTCGGCCTCCCAAAGTGCTGGGATTACAGGCTTGAGCCACCGCGCCCGGCCTGGGTGTGGATATCTTTAGGGGACCATGATTTTGCCTACGACAGCCTGTTAAATATGGCGGACAATCGATTAATTTTGGAATACTGAACCAGTCTCGTGTCCCTGGAGTAAACCCACTTGTTACGGTATGTAATTCCTTTTCTGAATTGCTGAGTTGTATTTTCTAATATTTTGTTAAGGGTTTTTGCATGTATTCATGCGGGATGTGGGGTGGAGCCTGCTTTCTTTCTACCATTTTTATCTGGTTTTGGGTGTTAGGGTCATCGTTCCATATGATGAACTGGGAAGTGACCTCTTCCATTTTCTGGAAGAGATTATGTGAAATTGGTGTTAATTCTCCTTTGAACCTTTGGCAGAATTCCTTAGTTACACCATCTGGCCTTGGAGATTGCGTTTTTGGGAGTTTTAACATTACAAAGTCAATTTCCTTAAGTTACCAGGGCTGGACTGCCCGGATTTTGTACACACAGCAGAACAGGTGTTTTAGAAAGCACAGAAGGGCCGTGAGACTCTGGACAGTGTGTTCGTCCACGGAGCTGTCTGATGAAGTTGATAGTATCAGCTGTACCAAGCGAGGTCAGAGAAGTTAGCTTTTGTTTTCTTCTTGTTTTTGTTTTGAGGCAGGGTTTCGCTCCTTTTTAGCTGGGATTACAGGCGCCCGGCACCACTCCCAGCTAATTTTTGTGTTTTTTAGTAGAAATGGAGTTTCAGCTGGGCTCGGTGGCTCACACCTATAATCCCAACACTTTGGGAGGCCAAGGTGGGCGGATCACGAGGTCAGGAGATTGAGACCATCCTTGCCAACATAGTGAAATCCCATCTCTACTAAAAAATACAAAAAAAAAAAAAAATTAGCTGGGCATGGGGGCACATGCCTGTAGTCCCAGCTGCTCGGAAGGCTAAGGCAGGGGAATAGCCTGAACCTGGGAGGTGGAGGTTGCAGTGAGTCGAGATCCTCACCACTGCACTCCAGCCTGGCCACAGAGCTAGACTCCATCTCAAAAAAAAAGAAACAAAGTTTCACCGTGTTGGCCAGGGTGGTCTCAAACTCCTGACCTCAAGTAATCCACCCGCCTTGGTCTCCCAAAGTGCTGGGGTTACAGGCGTGAGCCACCACGCCTGGCCTTAAGTTTTTCCACTTTTATTTTTTATTTTTTTAATCTTTATAGAAGGATTTCTTTTTTTTTTTTTTTTTTTTTTTTTTTTTTTTTCCGGGCGTGGTAGCTCACGCCTGTAATTCCAGCACTTTGGGAGGCTGAGGCAGGCAGATCACCTGAGGTCAGGAGTTCGAGACCAGCCTGACCAATATGGTGAAACCCTGTCTTTAAAAAATATATATATATATTTTTATAAATTTACTTAACTTTAGGCGCATACTACATCTGGCATTTCTCCCCATGTTATCCCTCCCCACCTTCCCCTCCCTCCCCAAGTTTTTCTACTTTTAATACAGATGGGGTTTCAGCACGTTGGCCAGGCTGGTCTCGAACTCCTGACCTCAAGTGATCCACCCGCCTTGGCCTCCCAAGGTGCTGGGATTACAGGTGTGAGCCACCACACCCAGCCACGGCGGTCAGTTTTCATTTTATTTGTCAAAGGCAATGTGGAACCACAGGAGGATTTAGAGCATGGGAGGAGGGCAGGTGCCGTGGCTCACGCCTTTAATCCAAACACTTTGGGAGCCCAAATGGGAAGACTGCTTAAGGCCAGGACTTGGAGACCAGCCGGGGCCACACAGTGAGAGCCTATTCTCTTAACAAAAACATTAAAAATGAGCTAGGCAGGCCGGGCGTGATGGCTCACGCCTATAATCCCAGCACTTTGGGAGGCCGAGGCGGGTGGATCACGAGGTCAAGAGATCGAGACCATCCTAGTCAACAAGGTGAAACCTTGTCTCTACTAAAAATACAAAAATTAGCTGGGCATGATGGTACGTGCCTGTAGTCCCAGCTACTCGGGAGGCTGAGGCAGGAGAATTGCTTGAACCCAGGAGGTGGAGGTTGCGATGAGCCGAGATCGTGCCATTGCACTCCAGTCTGGGCAACAACAGCGAAACTCCGTCTCAAAAAAAAAAAAAAAAAAAAATGAGCTAGGCATGGCGCTGCATGCCTATTGTCTCAGCTACTCTGGAGGCTGAGGCAAGCGGATCATTTCAGTCCTAGAGGCCAAGGCTGCAGTCAGCTATGTTTGCATCAGGGCACTCCAGCCTGGGAGACAAAGCGAGGCCCTGTCTCAAAAATAAAAGAAAATCGGCCGGGTGCGGTGGCTCACGCCTGTAATCCCAGCCCTTTGGGAGGCCAAGGCTGGTGGGTCACCTGACGTTGGGAGTTTGAGACCAGCCTGCTCTACACTGTGAAACTCCATCTCTATTAAAAATACAAAAATTGCTCACGCCTGTAATCCCAGCACTTTGGGAGTCCGAGGCGGGTGGATCATGAGTTCAAGAGATGGAGACCATCCTAGCCAACATGGTGAAACCCCGACTCTACTAAAAATACAAAAAACTTAGCTGGGCGTGGTGGCGCGCGCCTGTAGTCCCAGCTACTCGGGAGGCTGAGGCAGAATTGCATGAACCCCGGAGGCGGAGGATGCAGTGAGCTGAGGTCGTGGCACTGCACTCCAGCCTGGTGACAGAGGGAGACCCTAGTCTCCCCCCGCAAAAAAAGAAAAAACATAATATGGGAGGGAGGTGGTAATAGGTGCATATTAGAAAGAGCCCTCTGGGGGATGGAGCATGAGTTTGGAGGCCTGAGACCCATTGGGATGGCCAGGATTCAGGTGCAAGAGGCTGGAGGTGTGGCTTAGGGTTTTGGAAGGCAGGGGACAAAAACAGCCAAAGAGGAAGCGTGTAAGGACTTGGGGAAATAAACCAAGGCTGGTTTGGGCTATGCTGAGTTGGGAGCCTTGGGGATGCCCGTGGTTGGCTGGACAGTCAGGGTGAGGCCCTTACAGGGTGACTGGACTGCACAATAATAATCATAATAGTTCACATGTACCCAGCCTTTGGTCTCTGTCAAGTCTTCTTCTAGACGGCATTCCCTAGAGCCCTGGAGAGTCTCCCCCGCACCCTTACTGTCCCGTCCCCACTTCTCGACTGGGGGTCTGGGCCAAGCTACCCCCATTTGAACCCATCCCGCGGTGCCCCGTAGCTTCAGGAAGTCCCCATCCCGGACTTTCAGCCGTGCCAGGGTGGTGGGGAAATCCCAGCGTTACGGGCTCGGGGACGACGGTCCCGGTACAGGGTCCAGGACAAAGGCCGGGACTGCACTGACGGGGCGCGCAACCTGCCCGGCCCTGCCACCTGCCCCGCCACCTGCCCCGCCCAAGGGTTATGGAAGGCGGGACTCGGCTGGCCATGTACCCGGAGCTGATTGGCCGATTGAGTCCAGTCCCTGCCTCTGATTGTTTGAGCTCAGAACTAAAGCTTTCGTCTGATTGGTCTATGTGAACGTCTGCCCATTGGTCAAATCCCAGCTGGTGTAATCAGATAGTTAATACGGATTGGCTGGCGCGGGAAATCCAGCAGCTTACTACCGATTGGTTGAGGGTGAAATACATGGGCTCTTATCATTGGCTGGCGGGCTCCGCTACGGTCCAATCGTGGAATCAGTCGAGGGCCGCCCAGGAGGGTGTGAGTTAATCCTTTAGAGACTGAGGCCGGCTTGGGCGCTTTGGCTCCACCTGTGTCTGCGCGAGGCTGTTCCCTATTGAAGTCTGCATTGTCCCCGCGGACCCGTTTCTCTCCTGATCCAAAAGGCCAAGGCATGAGGTCCTTAAGCGCGGTGGGCGTAAGCCTCAGCTTCTCCTCTCCCTGCAGCAGGCTGAGCCACCCGCGCACCTGCCCCAGGCTTCCACCTTGCAACCGCTATCCCTGGACAGCGAGGCCTCAATTTCCCCACTGGCACCAATGAGCTCCCGGTCACCACCTCATCCCATGGAGCGGAGCGTCAGGCCTCAGTTTCCCGAATGTTCCGGGAAGGCTGAGTTCCTGGTCTCTCCCGCGTGGGCAGCCCCGAGGCCTCAGTTTCCCCGCCCACTCCAGCGCGCCGAGCCCCTCCCCCGGCCCCGGCTGCGGCCAATGGCTGGGGCGCCTCCTCCCTCCCCGGGGCGGGGCCGCGTCACGTGCCGAGAAGCCGCAGGCGGCGGCTCGGGGCGCGGGGAGGCGCGGCCATGGCAGGTACGGCGGGCCCTGCAGGGCGGAGGCGCGCGGCGTTCGGCTACCGCGGCGGGGGACGCGCGGCCTCTCTACAGCTTCTCGTCGCCCGCAGCTCCGGAGCCGCTGTCCCCGGCGGGTTGCGCGGGCGAGGAGGCGCCGGAGGAGGACGAGGACGAGGCGGAGGCCGAGGACCCCGAGCGGCCGAATGCGGGAGCGGGCGGTGGCCGCAGTGGCGGCGGCGGCAGCGGAGGAAGCGGAGGAGGCGGCGGCGGTGGGGCCGGGGCGGGGGGCTGCGGCGGGCCGGGGGGCGCGCTCACCAGGCGCGCGGTCACGCTGCGGGTGCTCCTCAAAGACGCGCTGCTGGAGCCCGGCGCCGGGGTGCTGTCCATCTACTATCTGGTGAGCACCCCGCTTCCCTCGTCCCGTCGCGGCTCGGGCAGGAAGGGAAAACTGAGGCCCGGTGCTCCCTTGCTGCAGGACAAACCCCGGTGTGGGGAGTGGAAACTGAGGCTTGGAGCTCCTTTGCTGAGGGGCGAGTCCCGCTGTGGGAAGGGGAAACTGAGGCTTGGAGCTTCCTTGCTGCAGGACAAGCCCTTGTGGGGAGGGGAAACTGAGGCCCAGAGCTCCCTTGCTGAGGAACGAGCCAGGTGTGGGGAGGAGAACCTGAGGCCTGGAGCTCCCTTGCTGAGGGAGGAACTAGGTGTGGGGAGGGTAAACTGAGGCTCGAAGGTCCCTTGATGGGGGAGCCAGGTGTAGGGAGGGCAAACTGAGGCTTCAGGCTCTCGTTGCTGGACAAGCCCCATGTGGACAGAGAAATCTGAGGCACAGATGGGTCCTACTGATGGGGAGGGCATAGGTCACCAAGCACTCCATCCCGCAAAGGAGAAACTGAGGCTCAGAGGAGCCGTCACCCACGCAGGGTCAGATGGGCAACACCGGGGCCTTCCTGTAGTTTCGCTACCATAAAATGGAATATTTCCCCGCCATGGGAAGATTAGGGGAGGGATAAATGAATGAAGCCCTCACCAGGTGTCTGCCACATGGTAAGAGCTTTATCTGTGGTTGGTATTACTTTTTTTTTTTTTTTTTTTTTTTTTTTTGAGATGGAGGCTAGCTCTTCCCTGAGGCTGGAGTGTAGTGGTGCCATCTCGGCTCACTGCAGTCTCTGCCTCCCAGGTTCAAGTGATTCTTCTGCCTCAGCCTCCCGAGTACCTGGGATTACAGGCGCCTGCCACCTGCCACACATCCAGCTAATTTTTTTATTCTTAGTAGAGATGGCGTTTCACTATGTTGCCCTGTCTCCAACTCCTTATTTCAGGTCATCCACCCACCTGAGCCTCCCAAAGTACTGGGATTATAGGCATGAGCCACCACACCTGGCTCTGTATTATTACTATTACTGTTGTCCTTATTGTCAATTTGTGAATGGGAACACATTGTTGACATTGTGAATGGGAGTTTCTGAATTGAGCAACTGCTAAGTGTCACATCCTAGAGACACAGCAGTGATTAGGACTACCAGACCCTGTCCCTGATCTTAGGGGGTTCTTGGTCATGGCGGCCGGGGTGCAGATGCTCCTGCGAGGCAGCTTCGTGCAGGCTGATGAGGTGTGTGGGATGGTCTCCGGGCACTGAGGGGGCCCGGAAGCCAGCCTGGGAGGCGTTTCTGGAAGCCCTGCAAGTGGATGCCTCAGGGAGCGTGGGGCTGGGGAGGACACCTGGGAGAGAGGGCGTGCTGGGTGTTGGTCCCGGCCCCAGCCAGCCGACTGTGGCTGCAGGGGAAGAAGTTCCTCGGGGACCTGCAGCCGGACGGAAGGATCATGTGGCAGGAGACGGGGCAGGTCTTCAACTCACCCAGTGCCTGGGCCACCCACTGCAAGAAGCTGGTGAACCCTGCCAAGAAGTCGGGCTGTGGCTGGGCCTCTGTCAAGTACAAAGGCCAGAAACTGGACAAGTACAAAGCCAGCTGGCTCCGGCTGCACCAGCTGCACACGCCTGCCGCCGCTGCTGATGAGGTACGTACGGCGGCCTCCTCCAGGAAGCCGCCCAGGTCACTGGGATGAGGGGTGTCCAGCCTGACACGGCTCTCCCAGAAGGGTGGTATTATAGTAATATATACAAACACGGATGAGGTGCTCACCATGTGACACGCTGCCTCCATCCCTCCAGGGCTGGGATGGAGAGAGGGGACATGGGAGCTAGGGCTTTGACGGATGAGTAGCAGTCTGTCAGAGCAAGCTGAAGGGAAGAGCTTTTTAGTAGGATGGAATGGCGTGTGCAGTCACGTAGGCATGGGGAAAGGCATGCTGGGGTTGTGGGTGGCTGAGGGGCTGCAGATGTAGGCACGGACCGGAGGGGCCGGGTGAACTTGGCCAAGGACGCTTTGTGTGCCTTCGTTTTTTTTTTTTTTTGGGACACAGGGTCTCTCTCTTTGGCCAGGCTGGAGTGCAGTGCCAGCCTCTCGGCCCACTGCAACCTTCACCTCCTGGGCTCAAGCAGTTCTCCCACCTCAGCCTCCCTTTAGCTGGCCTACAGACACAAGCCACCACGCCTGGCTAACTTTTGGATTTTTAGTAGAGATGGGTTTCACCATGTTGCCTAGGCTGGTCTTGAACTCCTGGTCTCCAGCCGTCCTCCTGCCTGGGTTTCCCAAAGTGTTGGGATTGCAGGTGTGAGCTACTGCACCGGCCAGCTTTTTTCCTTATGTAAAATGGAGCCTGTGTCTGAAATCTGTAGGGCAGGTGGGAAACAGGAGCAGATGCCATAGTCGTGAGGCAGAATTCTGTTGTTTTTTTTTTCTTCTGTTTTTGCTTTTATGGCCTTCAACTAACTGGATGGAGCCCACCCATGTATCGAGAGTAATGTCAAGGCCGGGCTCGGTGGCTCATGCCTGCAATCCCAGCAGTTTGGGAGGCCGAAGTGGGCAGATCACTTGAGGTCAGGAGTTCAAGACCAGCATGGCCAACATGGTAGAACCCCATCTCTACTAAAAATACAAAAATCAGCTGGGTGTGGTGGCAGGCACCTGTAATCCCAGCTACTTGGGAGGCCGAGGCAGGAGAATTGCTTGAACCCAGGAGGCAGAGGTTGCGGTGAGCCAAGACTATGCTATTGCACTGCATCCTGGGCGACGGAGCAAAACGTTTTTTTTTTTTTTTTTTTTTGTTTTGTTTTTTTTTTTTAAAAAAAAAAAAAAAAGCCTGGGCATGGTGGCTCACACCTGTAATCCAAGCACTTTGGAGGCCAAGGTGGTCGGATCACCTGAGGTTGGGAGTTCAAGACCAGACTGACCAACATGGTAAAACCCCATCTTAAAACAAACAAAAAAATGTTCTGTTTGTAGATATGTTTTTGTAAACTTTTTTTTTTTTTAGACAGAGTTTTGCTCTCATTGCCCAGGCTAGAGTTCAATGGCGCAATCTCAGCTCACTGCATCCTCTGCCTCCTGGGTTCAAGCACCTCTGTCTCAGCCTCCCGAGTAGCTGAGATTACCGGTGCCCGCCACCACTCCTGGCTAATTTTTTAATATTTTTAGTAGAGATAGGGTTTCACTGTGTTGATCAGGCTGGTCTTGAACTCCTGACCTCGTGATCCACCTGCCTTGGCCTCCCAAAGTGCTGGGATTGCAGGCATGAGCCACCGAGCTGGCCTATAAACTTTTTTTTTTTTTTTAATGTACGAAGTTTATTACACAGAGTTAACACTAGTCCAACTTTAAAAGCAGACCACATTGTTTCACCCAGAAATAAAGAAATACTAAAAAAAAAAAAAAAACAAAAAAAACAACTAGAAACAGAACAACAACAACAAAAAAAAAAGCAGACCACAATGGTTATGTTATATAAGCTGTGATCACGAGGTCAAGAGATCGAGACCATCCTGGTCAACATGGTGAAACCCCGTCTCTACTAAAAATACAAAAAATTAGCTGGGCATGGTGGCGCGTGCCTGTAATCCCAGCTACTCAGGAGGCTGAGGCAGGAGAATTGCCTGAACCCAGGAGGCGAAGGTTGCGGGGAGCCGAGATCGCACCATTGCACTCCAGCCTGGGTAACGAGCGAAACTCCGTCTCAAAAAAAAAAAAAAACCCAAAAACCTGGGCGTGGTGGTGGCCACCTGTATAGTCCCAGCTACTCAAGAGGCTGAGGTGGGAGAATCTCTTGAATCCAGGAGGCAGAAGTTTCAGTGACAAGATGGCGCCTCTGCACTTAGCCTGGGTGACAGAGTGAGATTCGATCTCAAAAAAAAAAAAAAAAACAAAAAAAAACGTAAATCTTCACCTGGTCGTCCTTAGCCAGTCCAATCTCTATGAGGAACTGACAAATATTCTTGCACTGGTCACCCTGTAGCTGAATTCCTTTCCTATATTCTGTTTTTTTGTTTTTGTTTTTTTTTTTTTGGGATGGAGTCTCGCTGTGTCACCCAGGCTAGAATGCAGTGGCACAATCTCAGCTCACAGCATCCTCCGACTCCTGGGTTCAAATGATTCTCCTGCCTCAGTCTCCTGAGTATCTGGGATTACAGGCACCCGCCACCACACCTGGCTAGTTTTTGTGTTTTTAGTAGAGATGGGGTTTCACCATGTTGGCTAGGATGGTCTCGATCTCTTGACCTTGTGATCCGCCCAAAATCCCAGCTTCCCAAAGTGCTGGGATTACAGGTGTGAGACACTGCGCCCGACCTCTGTTGAATTCTTACATGGATACAGTCCTCAGTGCTAGCAGGAAGCAGGTTATCACTGATAAACGCATCAGCAAAGGGGTTCAAAGAGTGGTGATTCTGGATAGTGGCCATAGATATGGTTCTTTTTTTTTTTTTTTTTTTTGAGATGGAATGCCGCTCTGTTGTCCAGGCTCACTGCAACCTCCCGCTTCTGGGTTCAAGCGATTCTCGTGTCTCAGCTTCCCAAATAGCTGGGACTACAGGCATGCACCATCAGCTTGGCTAATTTTGGTATTTTAATTTATTTTGATTTTATTTTAAACCCCAACAGGGTTTCACCATATTGGCCAGGCTGGCCGTGAACTCCTGACCTCAGGTGATCCACCCGCTTCGGTCTCAACAAAGTGCTGGGATTACAGGCAGGAGTCACTGCACCCGGCCAGGATTCTGTTTACTTGGTGGAAATGGCCTGTGGAAGGCAGTGTTGGCCGGAGAAGGCTGGTGGGAGGGAGGGAACATCGGGCAACAAGAGTGCTCAATGGGGAAGCTGCTGAGTCCTCGGCTCAGTGACTGGGTCTGTTTTTATAATTTTTTTTTTTTTTTGAGATAGTCTCACTGTCGCCCAGGCTGGAGCCCAGTGATGTGATCTCTGCTCGCTGCAACCTCTGCCTCCTGGGTACAAGCGATTCTCCTGCCTCAGCCTCCCGAGTAGCTGGGTTTACGGGCACCTGCCACTAGACCCGGCTAATTTTTTTGTATTGTCAATAGAGACAGGGTTTTGCCGCGTTGTCCAGGCTGGTCTTGAACTCCTGGCCTCAAGTGATCTGCCCACTTCGGCCTCCCGAAGTGCTGGGATTACAAGCCTGAGCCACCGTGCCCGGCCAATTTTTGTATTTTTAGTAGAGACAGGGTTTCACCATGTTGTCCAGGCTGGTCTCGAACTTCTGATCTGCCCGCCTCTGCCTCCCAAAGTGCTGGGATTGGAGGCATGAGCCGTGGAGTCTGGCCAAGAGTAATGTCCTTTCTGAGAGTCACCATACTGTAGATGTGAATCACGTCTAACAAATGCCGTTGCAGTCATGCCAAGATCAGTGTTCGATTAAATTACTGGGCGCTCTGGCCTAGCTAAGTTGACACACGAAATATTCTTTCTGCAGGTATTCAGTAAGTGCCAACCGTATGCAAGCCCTGTCGTAGGCACTATATATAAAGTAAAGGGGCTTAAAAAGTCAAAAATCCCTGCTTTGGGGTGGGAGTTGTTGGGGAAGAAGGTAGTCAGGGGAGGCTTGAGGAGAAGGTGACATTTGAACAGAGAACTGAAGATGAGGCGGGACGGAGGGAGCTATGAGGATTTCTGAGAAAATGCCCCTCCGAGGCCCTGGGGCAGGACTTTGCTTGGTGTGTTGCAGGAACAAAGAGGAGGCCTGTGTGGCTGGAGCTGAGTGAGTGAGGGGGAGAGAGGGAGGTGGGAGGATGGGAAGGGGACAGGGGAGGTCATGCAGGATCCTGTGGGGCCTGGACCTGAAGGAAGGTGGGAGCCATGGAGGGTTGCAGGACAAGACTTGACTCAGGTGCTTACAGGCGTTCTCTGGTGGCTGCTGCGGGGAGGACAGATTGTCAGGGGTGAAGATGGGATCCAGGGACCAGGGTAGAGGTGACTGAGCTGGTCCAGGTGAGGGATGATGGGGGGACCAGGCCAGCCATGGAGGTGGGAAGAGGTGGGCAGGTTCCAGATATTTTTGGAAGTGGATCTGCCAGGATTTGCTGATAGATCAGATGTGGGGTCTTGAGCAAGTGGGTGGATGGAGCTGCCAAAATGGGGGTTTGTGGGAAGGGCAGATTTGGGGGTCCAGTGGACCCAGCATGGCCGCGTTGAGTGTGAACCTGTGAGCCCCCACATGGAGACATGTTGGGGCAGCTGGGCCCTGAGTCTGGAGCTGGGCGAGGCCTAGGCTGGAGACAGGACCTTGGGCAATGTTGGGTGTAGGCGGGATTTGGAGCCCTGAGAGGGGGGTGAGGCCACCTGGGAGGGGTGTGGAGGGAGGAGGCCTGAAAACCCAGCCTGGGGCCAGCAACAGAGAGACGGAGAGCTGAGAGGGAGCTGGGCAAGCACGCGGGGCTCTGGGGGTCACGTGAGGACCGTGTTCCCAGTAGGTGGGAGGATGGGCTGGGTCGGATGCTGCCCAGGTGACGAGGACAGATGTGACCCAGAGAGGTCATCTCCGCAAAGGTGGTTTAGGATAGAACTGGAGAAGAGTTATTTTTTACTTTTATATTTTATTTATTTGAGACAGTCTCGCTCTGTTGCCAGGTGGGAGTGCAGTGGCGTGATCTCGGTTCACTGCAACCTCTGCCTCCCAGGTTCAAGTGATTCTCTTGCCTCAGCCTCCCAAGTAGCTGGAAATACAGGCACGCACCACCATGCCCAGCTTTTGTGTGTGTGTGTGTGTGTGTGTGTGTGTGTGTGTGTGTGTATTTCTTTTACTGGAGATGGGGTTTCACCATGTTGACAAGGATGGTCTCAATATCATGACCTTGTGATTCTCCCTCCTCAGCCTCCCAACGTGCTGGGATTACAAGCATGAGCCACTGTGCCCAGCCTTTATTTTTTTTAATTTTTAAATTTTTATTATTTTTTTAATTTTTTAAGATGGGGTTTCACCATGATGGCCAGGCTGGTCTTGAACTTCTGACCTCCGGTGATCCACCCATCTCGGCCTCCCAAAGTGGTAGGATTACAGGCGTGAGCCACCGTGCCCAGCTATTTTTATTTTTTGAGACAGAATCTTGTTCTATTGTGCAGGCTGGAGTGCAATGGCACGACTCAGGTCACTGCAACCTTTGCCTCTTGGGTTCAAGTGATTCTCCTACCTCAGCCTCCGGAGTAGCTGGGATTGCCTGGCTAATTTTTGTATTTTTAGTAGAGAGAGGGTCTTACTATGTTGGCCAGGTTGGTCTCGAACTCCTGACCTCAAGTGATCCACCCGCCTCAGCCTCCCAAAGTGGTGGGATTAAAGACGTGAACCACCGCTCGCGGCTGAGGGGAAAGGTTACTGAAAGGTTACCGTACATAATCAATGTATGATGCTAGCTCATTCATAGATCTGGGTGTATGAATGGAGCATCTGGGTATATGCTAAATGCTTTGCATACATGATTTCATTTCACCCTGATGCCACCCCCATGGCGCTAGAGATCATTGTGCCCTTTTACAGATAAGAATATGGCGGCTCATGCATGTAATCCCAGCACTTTGGGAGGCTGAGGCCAGCAGATCACTTGAGGTCAGGAGTTGGAGACCAGCCTGGCCAACGTGGCAAAACTTCATTTCTGCTCAAAAGATAAAAGTTAGCAGGGGGTGGTGGCAGGCACTTGCAGTCTCAGCTGCTTAGAAGGCTGGGGCAGGAGAATGGCTTGCGCCTGGGAGGCAGATGTTGCAGAGAGCCAAGATTGCGACACTGCACTCCAGCCTGGGGAACAAAGAGCGAAACTCAGTCAAAAAAAAAAAAAAAAAAAAGAAAAAAAGGAGAATCACTTTAGCGTGAGAGGTGGAGGTTGCAGTGAGCCGAGGTTGCGCCACTGCACTCCAGCCTGGGCAACAGTGAGACCTTATCACCAAAAAAAAAAAAAACGAAGTCTTAGCCAAAGACCTCCTTTGCTCCCTCCCGCCCTCTAGTGGTCACCTGGGGCAATGGCACCTACTGCTTAGGCAAAGGGCTGGGGTGGGATTTGGGATTTAGTAGGGAGAGTGAGGGGGCACCCAGCTGAGGGTCCCACTGCTGTTCCCAACCCCCAACCCCTCCAGAGCCCGGCCAGCGAAGGGGAGGAGGAGGAGTTGCTGATGGAGGAAGAGGAGGAGGAGGTTCTGGCAGGGGTCTCAGCAGAGGACAAGAGTCGGAGAGCACCGGGGAAGAGCCCCTCAGAGCCTGCCCACCCGGGTGAGAGGCGTGGGGAGGGGAGGCAGGACAGGACGAGTGTACAGCTTGGGTCTGGGAGGAGGCCAGGGAGAGGTTGGGCCTTGAAATTGCCCTAGGGCCCCCAAGATGCCTGACTGACTTCCTAGTCCCACTGCCCAATTTCACTCTGTCCGACTTTTCAAGCTCAAACGCTGGATTTTATTTCGTTTTATGTATTTATTTTTTTGAGATTTATCACCATGCCTGGCTAACTTTTGTATTTTTAGGAGAGACGGGGTTTCACTGTGTTGTCCAGGCTGGTCTCGATCTCCTGACCTCAGGTGGATCCACCTCCCTTGGCCTCCCAAAGTACTGGGATTACACGAGTGAGCCACCGAGCCTGTTTTTTTTTTTTTTTTTTTCTGAGACAGTCTCATTCTGTCTCCCAGGCTTAGGTGCAGTGGCCTGATCTTGGCTCACTGCAACCCCTGCCTCCCCCGCTGCTGTATTTCTTTATGCACTGCCTGATTTCTGTGCTCTCTGCCTGACTTCTTGCTTGCCTATGGGATTTCTTTGTCTCGTTGCCTGATTTCACCTGGTTTCCTGAGCTTCCCGTTTAAATTTTTTTTTTTTTTGAGATGGAGTCTTGCACTGTTGTACAGTACGGCTGGAATGCAGTGGTGAGATCTTGGCTCACTGCAGCCTCTGGCTCCCAAGTTCAAGTGATTCTCATGCCTCAGCCTCCCAAGTAGCTGGGATTACAGGCATGAGCCAACAGGCCTGGCGCTAATTTTTATCATCGCCTCTGTTTGACTTGTCCCCTGATTTTTTTTCTTTTCTTACCTTGTATGTGGGTTTTTATTGTTGTTTTTGAGAAACAGTTTTGTTTTGTTCCCCAGGCAGAGTGCTATGGTGCAGTCATGGCTCACTGCATTCTCGGCCTCCCTGGTTCAAGTGATCCTCCTGCCTCAGCCTCCTGAGTAACTGGGACCACAGGTGTGCACCACTACGCCTGGCTAATTTTTGTGTTTTTTGTAGAGATGCAATCTCACCATCTTGCCCAAGCTGGTCTTGAACTCCTGGACCTGAGCAGTGCTCCCACCTCAGCTTCTCAGTGTAAAAAAAAAAAAAAATTTTTTTTTTTTTTTTTTTTTTTTTGAGATGGAGTCTCACTGTGCTGCCCAGGCTGGAGCGCAGTGGCATGACTTTGGCTCACTACAGCCTCTGCCGCCGCCTCTGCCTCGAGGAATTCTTTTGCATCAGCCACCTAAGGAGCTGGGACTACAGGCCAATTACAGGTGTGTACCGCCACACCTAAGTTTGTGTTTTTAGTAGAGATGGAGTTTCACCATGTTGGCCAGGATGGTCTTGCCCTTTTGACCCCGTGATCCTCCTGCCTTGGCCTCCCAAAGTGCTGGGATTATAGGCGTGAGCCACTGCACCTGACCAGTTTTTTTTTTTTTTGTAGACAGAGTCTCACTCTGGAACCCAGGCTGGTGTGATGACAGCTCACTGCAGCCTCAACCTCCTGGGCTCAAGCGATCCTCCCACCTCAGCCTCCCAGAGCACTGGGATTACAAGCATGCACCACCACACCCAGTGGGCCCCTAGCTATTTCTGCCTTGGGCTGGGGAGGGACTGATCCTGCGTTTTTCTCTCTTAGAAGCCACAACCTTGGGCAAGCGGGTGGACAGCAAGATCCGGGTCCCAGTCCGCTACTGCATGCTGGGCAGCCGTGACTCTGCCAGGTCAGACTCACCCCAAGCCCTGCCCCTGCCCCTGCCCCAGCTCCCCTGGATCTCTTGCTTGTCTGAGGGGAGCAAGGGCAGGGTAAGGGGTGGGACAGAGCTTCAGATCCTCAGAGCTGTGGGGTGGGGGCAAGGGAAGAGCCTGGGGGGTGGTTGCTGAGGCTGTTTAATCCTCCTGGCCCCTGCAGGAACCCCCACACCCTGGTGGAAGTCACATCCTTTGCAGCCATCAACAAGTTCCAGCCGTTCAATGTGGCTGTTTCCAGCAATGTGCTGTTCCTGCTGGTGTGTGGCCCACCTTGTCCCGGGCAAGGGGCTCCAGGGTCAGGGGAGCCCAGTTGGGGGCAGCGGGAGGGACTCCCCGGTGTGTCAGTTCCATGAGAACTGGGACTTTGGCTGCTTTGTTTGCTACTGGTACACTGTGGGTGCTCAATGAATGTACGAGGAGGGTGCATGGCCAGGTGTGGGGGCTCACAGCTGTAATCCCTGCACTGTTAGAGGCTGAGGCAGTGGATCACCTGAACTCAGGAATTCAAGAGCAGCCTGGGCAACATGGTGAAACCTCTGCTCTACTGAAAATACCAAAGTTAGCTGGGTGTGGTGGTGCACACCTGTAATTCCAGCTACTTGAGAGGCTGAGGCATGAGAATCACTTGAACCTGGGAAGGAGGTTGCCGTGAGCCGGGATGGTGCCACTGCACTCCAGCCTGGGTGACAGAGCAAGACTCGGTCTGGAATAAAGAGAATGAGGGCGCAGGCTGGCTTCAGTGTTGGGGCAGGGCTCCTGCCTGATCCGTCTTCTGCTGTCCTTCCCTTCCCAGGACTTCCACAGCCACCTGACTCGAAGTGAAGTCGTGGGTTACCTGGGGGGCCGCTGGGACATCAACAGCCAGAGTGGGTATCCAGGGCTGGGTCGGAGGGGGGTGTTGAGGGACCAAGGACCATGGGGTAACAGCCACCCCTCCCCACAGTGCTGACGGTGCTCAGAGCCTTCCCCTGTAGGAGCCGGCTCGGGGATGCGGAGACTGCAGCTGCCATTGAAGAGGAGGTGAGGGGCTGCCTGGGAAGTGGCATTTTAGGAAGCGTTGGGGAGGGACGTAGCTGTCCTGGTGACTGGCCAGTGGCTGGCAGTGTCACCGTCTCTGTGCCTGAAGCCCCACAGTGAAGGGTTAAGAGCACTGCTTGCTTTATTTTTTTTCCTTGAGACAGAGTCTTGTTCTATATCCCAGGATGGAGTGCAGTGGCGTGATCTTGGCTCACTGCAACCTCCAACATTTCTGGATTCAAGCAGTTCTCCTGCTTTAGCCTCCTGACTACCTGGGATGACAGGCATGTGCCTCTATGCCTTGCTAATTTTTGTATTTTTAGTAGCGAAAGGGTTTTACGACATTGGCCAGGCTGGTTTTGAATTCTTGACCTCAGGAAATCCGTCCACTTTGGCCTCCCACAGTGCTGGGATTACAGGTGTGAGCCGCCACGCCCGGTCTAAGAGCACTGCTTTTGGCTCACCAGCCCCTCCCCTCTCACAGACAAGGAAACAAGGGTTTCCTTGTCTGTCAAACGAGTGGCTTAAATGAAAGGTCATGAGATCCAGGCATGGGGGCTCACACCAGGAATCTCAGCACTTAGGGAGGCCGAGGCAGGAGGATTGCTGGCGCCTCGGAGTTCCACACCAGCCTGGGGCCACAGCAATACCTCGTCTCTAATAAAAAAATCAGCCAGGCATGGTGGCACACACCTGTAGTCCCATCTTCTTGAGAGGCTGACGCAGGAGGATGGATTGAGTCTGCGACGTCGAGGCTGCATGAGCTGTGATGGTGCCACAGCACCCCAGCCTGGGTGACAGAGCAAGATCCTGTATCTAAAACAACAAGAAATGAAGGGCTGCCGATAATGAATGCTTTTTTCCAGGCCTCATCTAGTAAAGGCTCAGCTGCCCTTTTTTTCCTCTCTCTCTCTGAGACACGATCTTGCTGTGTTGCCCAGGCCGGAGTACAGTGGCATAATCAGGGCTCACTGCAGCATCAACTGCCCAGGTTCAAAAGATCCTCCTGCCTCAGCCTCCAGAGTAGCTGGGAGTACAGACACACGCCACGACACTTGGCTTTTTTTTTTTTTTCCAGATGGAGTCTTATTTTGTCACCCAGGCTGGAGTGCAAGAGTGTGGTATTTACTCATTGCAACCTCTGCCTCCTGGTTTCAAGCGATCCTCCTGCCTCAGCCTCCAGAGTAGCAGGGACTACAGGCACTCACCACCACACCTGGCTAATTTTTGCATTTTTACTAGAAGCAGGGTTTCACTATGTTGGCCAGGCTGGTCTCAAACTCCTTACCTCGTGATCCACCCACCTCAGCCTCCCAAAGTGCTGGGATTACAGGCATGAGCCACCGTGCCTGGTGTAATTTTTATATTTTTTGTAGACAGTGTCTCGCTATGTTACTCAGAATGGTCTCAAACTCCTGGGCTCAAGCAGTTCTCTAGCCTCAGCCTCCCAAAGTGCAGGGATTACTGGTGTGAGCCACCATGCCTGGCCAGTATCTTTATTTCAGAGGCTTACTCTGTCACCCAGGCTGGAGTGCAGTGGCACAATCTCAGCCCGCTTCAACCTCTGCCTCCCAGGTTCAAGCTATTCTCCTGCCTCAGCCTCCCGAGTAGCTGGGACTACAGTCACCCACCACCATACCCAGCTAAAGTTTATATTTGCAGTAGAGAAGGGGTTTCTCCACATTGGCCAGGCTGGTCTCGAACTCCTGGCCTCCCACAGTGGGGGAATTATGGGCGTGAGCCACTGTGCCCGGCCTGTCTTTATTGAGTGCCCACTGTGTGGCGGCCATTATTCCTTAAGCTGGGGTACAGTGGTGAACAAAACGACTTTCAGGTACTCGCTTTGTGGCCAGGTGTGTCTTACATTTATAGATATACTTGTGGGCTGTCTCTCTAGCTGCCACTGGACTCAGGATACACAGCAAGGGCTCATTCAGGACTGGGCGGCTGCATAAGTTCACTGGAGCCGTTCAGATCCCTGCGTCCCCTGAGCTGTGCCTCTGTCCCCAGATCTACCAGAGCCTGTTCCTGCGGGGCCTGTCCCTGGTGGGCTGGTACCACAGCCACCCACATAGCCCAGCGCTGCCATCCCTGCAGGACATCGACGCGCAGATGGACTACCAGCTGCGGCTTCAGGGCTCCAGCAACGGCTTCCAGCCCTGTCTCGCCCTGCTCTGCTGTATGCCACCAGCTGGGGGAGTGGGGGGCGCAAGAAGAGGGATTGCTGGGCCACCCGAGCCCCCCAGGCCCAGCCCCTCTCTCCCTGTCCTCCACCAGCTCCTTACTACTCTGGCAACCCAGGCCCCGAATCCAAGATCTCACCTTTCTGGGTGATGCCTCCTCCCGAGGTAGGTGGGGCTGCCCCGAGGGCCTGGGGTGCCCAGGGTGGGAGTACCTGGGCATTTGGGTCACACTTGGCAGGGGCCCCTGATTCCAGGCTCCACTGGAGCATTGGGGCCCTGGTTTCTCCATCTGTGAAATGGGGACGTGACTGCTGCCGGGCTGAGGCTTTGGTGAGCCTGGCCACAGGGCCTCTGTGTGTAGTTTGCTGCTGAGTACCAAGAGGGCTCCCATCCTGAACGCTGCCTGGCTTCATTCCCTAAGCCTGCCCTGAAGTCAGAGGTCTGCCCTGGAAAGTAATTTTCAGGACCCTGGTTCTCTTCTGGGCTTCTCTCAAGAGGGAGGATGCTACCCTGCCTCCTTGGTCCCACCGCCAGGTGCCAATCCCAGTGCAGAGCTGGGCTGGGTTATGCACTCCCATTCCCAGCCTGGGCACCGCCTGTTGTCCCCAGCTGCCATGGGCTAGGGGCTGGAGAGGCTTCTCTAACTGACTTGTGTCCCTACCAGCAAAGGCCAAGTGACTACGGCATCCCCATGGACGTGGAGATGGCCTACGTCCAGGACAGCTTCCTGACCAATGACATCCTTCACGAGATGGTGAGCTCGCTGCAGGAAGGGGCTGGCAGTGCACAGCAGGGTGCACAGGATGTGCTGGTCTGCTCCGCATTGGTGGGCTCAGGAAGCTATGGCTGGTGGCGCCTTGCGGGCCTGGGTCAAGGCTTTATCCATCCCTCTCAGGACAGAGTCCCAGGTTCTTGCCAGGGCCCCTCCCTCATCCACTGCCTGCTGTTCTCCAAGGGGCTGGCCTCTTATGCCAGGCTGTCCAGTGGAGCAACCCCAGCGACTTTGGTGGTACCTGGATGAACACTTAACAGTTGTATATTCAATATTCATAAACTAGGCTGGACACAGTGGCTCCTGCCTGTAATCCCAGCACTTTGGGATACTGAGGTGGGTGTATCACCTGAGGTCAGGAGTTGGAGACTAGACTGGCCAACATGACGAAACCCGGTCTCTACCAAAATGCAAAAACTAGCCAGGCATGGTGGTGGACTTCTGTAGTCCCAGCTACTCCAGTGGCTGAGGCAGGAGAATCGGTTGAACCCTGGAGGTGGAGGTTGCAGTGAGTCAAGATCATCCCAGCGACAGAGTGAGACCCCATCTCAAGAAACAACAAAACCCAAGTTAGTTCATCAAACCTGTGGCCTCACAGGTGTCACTGCTGGGATGAGGTGGACCAGAGGCCATGTCATGCCGGTATGGTTCTGGAGAACTGGGCTCAGTGAGTGCACGTCCAGGTGGGCCCGTCACGGCAGCACGGCTGCCTGCCCCTCCAGAGAGCACTCCTGGCCTTAAGCCAGGTGAGCCTCCAGCTAAGGTCGCTCCTGATCTCTGTGGTTATCTGTTAGTGTCTCGGGCCTGCCCGAGACTGGAACCCAGGAGAGGGGCAGGGAGGGAGCCTGGGAGTGCATGCTGCCCTGTCCTGCAGATGCTGCTGGTAGAGTTCTACAAGGGCGCCCCTGACCTCGTGAGGCTCCAGGAACCCTGGAACCAGGAGCACACCTATCTCGACAAGCTGAAGGTGAGCCCCACATCCCCCGCAGACCTAATGCGGCCCCAGGAGAGGCCCCTGGGGCAGCCTAAAAGGTGGTAGTGGTGAACCCCATGGGCCTAGCTGGCAGAGTATACCTGACCCTCGTCACCCCATGGCCACCCCAGCAGGGTGCAGGCCAGGTTTTATTGGATAGTGGAACTTTAAGCCCTGGCAGCACTGGACAAGGTACCAGCAGCAGGTTGTGGGAGTGGCTCCCTGCAGAGGGCCTAGGATCCCGGGATGTTTCCCTAAGGGCCTGGCGTCCCTGAGCGTCTTAGGGTAGTTCCTGCTGTGACCCCACCCTGCAGAGAAAGGGGCTTGTTCTGCTTAGCTCTCGGCTGGCTCTCAAGGCTGTGATGTTGCTATGGGTGTCTGGGACCCAGGCAGCGTGGGGCTGAGGTGAGGGCAGGATCGGGAACCTGCATGTAAGCCCCACCCCTCCACGCAGCACCGCCACCCCCAGGAGCCAGGTCCTTCTGTTACATACCACCCCTCTGGCTTAGCAGCAGGCTGTGCTGTGGGACCCTAGCCCAGTGCCTTGGTCTCAGGGGACTCAGCCAGGCTGCCGGACTTGGACGGTGAGGCGTGGGCCTGGCCAGAACCCCTGGGCACAGCCTGAGGCCCAGCCCTCTCGTTTCAGATCTCCTTGGCCAGCAGGACGCCTAAGGACCAGAGCCTGTGCCATGTGCTGGAGCAGGTGTGCAGTGTCCTCAAGCAGGGGAGCTGAGCCTCCCAGGGCAGGGTGGGCTCCAGATGGGCTCAGGTAATAAAGAAATGGAAGCAGTAGGCAGCCGTGCTGGTCTCCCCAAGGCTAGAGTGAGGGTGGCTGGGTGCCCAGGCTGACACCATCACCCCTGCTTCCAGGGTACCAGGGCTTCCGCAGCCCCTGTACCCGGGAACTGGTGCAGGAGCCTCAGGGCCAGTCCCACCCGACTCAGGCTCTGCAGCACGTGTGGGGCACAAGGGACCTGCTGGGGTGTGGGTGGCAGGCCTGCCTCTGCACCAAGACGAGGCAAGGGGCTGTAGAAAGAGACATTTAATACTTCTGTTTACAAAATTCAGGTGTACATTTCAGTCTGCCCTGGACCATGCCCACTGCTGTGTACTCATTTGTGCTGGGGTGTCTGCCCCTCATGTACTGCTGACAAGGGGGGTACAGAGCAGAGCCTGGGGTCCAGAGGCTTTGCCGGGCCACGGTAGGAGGGGAATGTGAATGTGGCCTGGCCCAGAGGACCCCCCCATTTCATCGATTTTTGGATTGGGCAACAGAGGAAGCAGATGTTGGGGCTGTGGCCCTGCTGGTCTGAGCAGGGGCCTCAGGGACTCTGGGGCTGCCTGCCTTGGTCTAGAGGAAAGGGCTGGGCCACTTCCCACAGGGTGGGGTGGGGTGGGGTGGCAGTGGCTCAGCAAGGGGAGGCCTGGCCACCAGGGACTGGAAGATTTTGCTCGCTGGAGCCTTTGTGCTTGGCCCTCAGCAGCATGGCTGGGGCCGTGGTCCCTGGAAGTGTAAGGTGTGCTAGGGGGTGTGTTGGTGGCTGGTGGTGGCAGCTTGTGCCTGAGTGACACAGGCCTCTGTGGGCCTGGCTGGGGGCAGTTAAGCTGAAAAGGTACTTGAGGGCGGGGCCTGGGAGCTTGGGGCCCTGCAGGAGGCCATTTTCTCTGTCCTCAGGCACAGCTACCCCAAGGATCACAGATGGCCTCTGTCCCCAGGCTGCAGAAGGAGTGTGTGTGCGAGGCGGGGGTGCAGTGGCTCTGGGGTGGGACCAGGGCCCATCGCCAGCACCAGGCTGGGAGGGGATTTAAAACCAGGATTTAGGCCAGGCGCAGTGGCTCACTTTGGGAGGCCGAGGCAAGCAGATCATGAGGTCAGAAGTTCGAGACCAGCCTAACATAGAGAAACCCCGTCTCTACTAAAAATATAAAATTAACCAGGCATAGTGGTGCATGCCTGTAATCCCAGCTACTGGGAAGGCTGAGGCAGGAGAATCGCTTGAATCCGGGAGGTGGAAGTTGCAGTGAGCCGAGATCACACCACTGCACTCCAGCCAGGGCAACAAGAGCGAAACCCTGTCTCAAAAAATCAGGGTCCTGTCTGAGCCACCCCACAGGGACACTCAATCCCATCCTGTTAAGGCCGCAGGACTCGAGGGCAGGCAGTGGGCCAGCCCCCACGGGATCAGGACGGAGGTGGGGGCCGCCCAGAGGAACTTTAGTGTTTCTGAGAGCACCGTAGTGTTGCCCCGCCTTGGCCAGCTGGGCGAGGAGTTGGGGAGTGGGGAGGAGGCCGGTGCCATGGAGTTAGTTGGGAAGGGAGCCATCACCATTGGGGGTCAGCGCTAGCGTAAACAGGCGTCCCCACCCACCCAGATGAGCCTCCCAACCCAAGTGTGGGGCCCTGCTCAGGGAGTACCTCAAGGGCACCTGCAGGCTGGGACACCGCCCTGGCAGCAGGGGCCCCGTTGAATGCAGGAGACCCTGCAGGGGGTGGCGGCCAGTGTGGACGGAGGGGCAGGGTGTGGTCACAGGCGAGTCACTGTGGCAGGGGCACGAGCACCTCCACGTAGCTGAGTGGGAAGAAGCCTGACTGGCCGTCCAGCATACCCTCATACCAGTTCTCATCGATCTGGTTGGTCAGCGTGATGACGTCGCCCTCACGGAAGCCCAGCTCCCCATCGTTCTCAGGCTCGAAGTCATACAGCGCCTTGCAGCTCGGCTGGTCCAGGGGTGCTGGGGGCGGGGGCGGGATGTGGGGCGAGCGTCCAGGCTGGGGCTCCTACAACCCACTCCACCCAGCCTAGGGTCTCAACTCAGACCTGCCGTGGCCTGGAGCCTATGAGTGGGTGGAGGCCACCGGCTGCCACTTCTGGGGTCCTGCCTCTACTGCTGCCCAGGAGGGAGGATGGGAAAGTCTTGGTAAGTGGTCACCACAGCTGCTCCTGGGAGGTACTAGGGACACCCACTGCTGCTGGGGTGACAAGGAATGACCAGATACCCTCAGCTGTTGCAGCCACCACACAGCTTAGAGCTGGGCTGATGCCTTTGGCAGACACAGCAGCGGGGACACGGCCGTCCCTCATTCACACAGTGAGGCTGAGACCCAGAGGGGTGGCGTCTTGCAAGGTATGGGCCTGGGCCTGTGCCCGTGCCTGGCTCCTTGCTTGGGTTGGGCAGAGGACCAGGGTGGAAGCTAGAAGGCAGCACTGAGGCTGTGGCAAGCCTGGGACACTCACGCATGCTCCTGCTAGGGGTCCGGATGGGCTTGTCGGAAGATCGGAAAGACGATGAGGCTAAACACAAACAAAGCGCAGCGGCTGTGGGCTCAGTATGGTCAGGCAGGGCCTCTTCTGCAGCAGGCCGGGGCCAGCCCTTGCCATCCACCTTGGTGGTCCAGATGGAGTAGGGCTGAGAGCTGCACCCAGGGGCCTGGCACACAGAGACCCGAGACAGGCCCAGCCCTTAGCCACCCCCACCCGCTGGCATCCACCTCCAGAAGATGGCTCCACTCCCCATTACCTGTGATCTTGGGTGCTGAGGCGCAGGGGAAGCCCCCATTGGACTGCTCAGGCTCTCCGAGGTCAAAGGGCTCCCGGGGCTTGGGCTTATACTCCCGCTTGGGGCGAGAGGAAGCTTCCCGCATCCTGTGAAGGGAGAGGCAGCCCCACCCTTGTGTTTACACTGCTGCCTAATGACCTGGCCCGGGAGAGGGCGGCAGTGGGGTGCTAACACCCAGACTCTGGAACGTGACTCGACTGGGAAGTCTACCCAGAGGGCCTCCCGCCTGCACCCCCACCTTGGCGGCGCCTCAGAGGCTGGTGAGCAGCTGCGTCCTGCTACAGCCTCTACCTGCAGCACCCCCAGTATATCCCTCCTGCCTCCTCCCTATGTTCCCACCACAGCTGGTGCCCAACACACGCCGAAGCCCTGAAGCAGGTTCAGAGACGGGAGCCTGGGTGTCCCTGAGGCAGCTGAAAGTACAGCCAGGGAGGGGACAGGTATGAGATCAGGAGTCTAAGGGCCTGCATCAGGGGTAAGGCTTGGTGTTTCAGAGTTCTCAGACCCCTGGCTCCTCTGACCTCAAAACCCTCAGTCCTCTGGGGACCAGCTCCTCCCTGGACTTGACCCTGGCACAGTGCCCAGGAAGAATCCAGGGCACTGTTCTGCCAGGCACTCACCGGAGCAAGGTGTGCTGCCCACACCCGCCAGCAGAGGGCGCGTGGCAGCACAGGGCCGCGGCTCACCTGCGCTTGAGCTTCTCGGCCAGCTCGTCCAGGATCTGCACGGCCTGCCGGTGGTAGTCCAGCTGCGCGTCCACCAGAGCCGAGAGCTGACTCACCTGCTCGATCTGTGGGGACAGCAGGGCTCAGGGGCTCCTGCCAGCACAACTGCCCTGTGCCCGCCCTGACTCTTGAGGTGAAGCGATAGGAGGCAGAGGGGCCTGGGGCCTGCACCCTCAACTGCCCCTGCTGCAGCGGCCAGATGGCTGCCGTCTCCGTCCTTCAACTCCCTTGAGGCCGCCACACCAGCCTCCCAAGGATGTAGTGCCCCAGAAACTCACGTCCGTCTCCAGGAGGTTGTGCATGCTGGTTTCTGCCACCTCCTTGGACTCCTCGAACTTCTCCAGTGCCTGGCGCAACTCTTCATCAGGGATCTTGCCCTGCCGCTTCTTCTTGTAGTCAAAGTCCAGGCGGCGGCCCTCCAGCTTCTTCAGGTGGTGCTAGGGACAGTGGGGGACACAGGTCACACCAGCAGCAGCTGGACGGCCACCCCATGCATGGCGTGACCTGCCGTCCCTGCACCATGGGGACTCGCCTGCCTGAGCGAGACCCAGAGGGCAGTGCTGAAGCTCGAGTGAGGTGAGGGCGGCAGAATGGGGCCTGCCCCATCCAGCAGGACGAAGGGACAGGCCCGGGGCTGGCACAGGGGCAGCACCTGGATCTCCTTCAGGTCTTTCTCACACAGGTTCTGGAGGGGGTCGATGAAGTTCTGCTTGACCTCTATGTCCAGGGAGTCCTTCACCTCCGCCAGGCGCTTCATAGACTCGCCAGCGTCCAGCAATGCATCACCTGTGGAGAAGCAGTGGGGGAAGCCGTCACACAGTGGACCTAGGACCGCTGGACTGAGACTCTCCTTAGCTTTTGTTTTTGAGACAGGGTCTTGCTCTGTTGCCCAGGCTGGAACGCAGTGGCTCAGTACCACCTAACCACAGCCTCCAACTGGGCTCAAGCCGTGCTGGCACCTCAGCCTCCCAAGTAGCTGGGACCACAGGTGTGTACCACCACATCTGGATCTTTCCCCACTACTACTTTTTTTTTTTTTTTTTTAAAGACGAGGTTTCACCATGCTGGTCAGGCTGGTCTTGAACTCCCGACCTCAGGTGATCCGCCCGCCTTGGCCTCCAAAGTGCTTGGATTACAGGCGTAAGCCATCACGCCCGGCCATTTTTTTTTTTTTTTTTTGAGACAGCTTTGCTCTTGTTGCCCAGGCTGGAGTGCAGTGGTGCAATCTCAGCTCACCGCAACCTCCGCCTCCCGAGTTCAAGCGAGTCTTCTGCCTCAGCCTCCCAAGTAGCTGGGATTACAGGCATGTACTGCCACACCCGGCTGATTTTTTATTTTTAGTAGAGACAGGGTTTCTCCATGTTAGTCAGGCTGGTCTTGGAACTCCCATCCTCAGGTTATCCATCTGCCTCTGCCTATCAAAGTGCTGGGATGACAGGTGTGAGCCACCGCGCCCGGCCCCATCCCAACTTCTGACGGCCCCACACTCCAGGAACTCAGAGCAGAA